ACATACCTTGGTAGTGTAGTTCATAACTCTGGGCTGTCAGATCAAGAAGTCAGCAGACGGATTGGCCTGGCAGCAGGGGCCATGAGACAAGAGTATTTGGAGATGCCGGTACCTGTGCAGAAGGACCAAGTTACGGGTTTTCAAGGCCCTGATAATGCCAGTTTTGCTATACGGCAGTGAAACCTGGACATCATCCTGTGCCTTGGAGTCTCGTCTTGATGCCTTCTGTAATAGGTCCTTGCGCCGGATCATGGGGTACTGTTGGCGGGACCATGTGTCCAATCAACAGTTGCACTGTGAGACTGGCGCAGAACCTGTTACCTGCATAATCCGTAATCGCCAACTCAGGCTATACGGCCACCTGGCACGTTTCCTACAGGATGATCCTGCCCACCAGGTTGTCTCTGTACGGGACAACCCTGGGTGGGGGAGGCCTGTGGGACGACCAAGGAGGTTTTGGCTTAGGCAGATCGATCAAACCTGTCGCGAGGAGCTCGAGATGGGCCGAGTCCCTGCCTGGCGGCTTGCCATGAGGGACCCCAAAATGTGGAAACAAAGGGTGGATGCAGTTATGCGCCCCCGTCGGCGTTAGCCCCCTTGATGATGATGATGATAAATGGCGTTTAGTCTCTTTTCACCGGACCATTACTTTTGTTATTCTTGTCGTACCGTCTTTCGCGTTATAATAGTTGGTATGAATGGCGTATAGAGCCAGTGATTACTACACCAATACTATATATAACAATGCATGATATATGATATAATGGTAAAAATATGGTACTACATCATAATAGATTTATTCTGATTTGGAAACATTTATTAGATATATATGTAATTCATATGCATAAACAGGTGTAGAAACTACTCACAATTCATAATGGAAATAACATTGCAGTAGGAAATAACATCGAAATGACATATTACACCGCACTTTATTCTTTGATTGATGGCTTATGTACAGGTCTGATGGAGGAAATCGAAGCCACACACACACACACTCCCTCTCTCTCTCCTTCTCTCCTTCTCTCCCTCCCTCCCTCCCCCTCTCTCCCTCCCTCCCTCCCCCTCTCTCCCTCTCTCCTCTCCCTCTCCCTCTCTCTCTATCAATCTGTCTGTCTATCTGCCTCTCTTTCTTTACCAAAGGGACTACATTAGCACAGCAATGTTGGAGGGCTTGAGCTTTATTCCCCCGTGTATACAGCTCAAATTAACGATGTCAGGTCCAGCCTCACAACTATAGGCCTATTTTTTACGCTCTTCAGACATGGTGGGTGGCTTCCGTACCTCAGGAACATATTGTGTCTGTGTGTATGTGTGTTTGCATTTTATACGTATATGTAGTTCGATTTTAACTCGAAAATATGTACGTAGATATACGAAAAAAATCTGTAATCAATAGACATTAAAGCCTCCTCATAACCATATGATTTAAAAAATAACGGTTTCAGTCGTTCACGGTGAACTCTTGCTCAACCTTGCTTGGGCAAAGTTTATCCTCGTTTCAGTTCTTGACCAGTTGTACAGAGGGAAGGATCGAGACGGTATTTTACACTGGAATTGTGTACCTGAAGCGCCACGTGCTATTTATTTATTTATTGAATTATGTATTTATTTATGTATTTTGATTAATTCATTTTAAATTATGTATTTTATTAATGTATTTTAATTAATTTATTTATGTATTTTAATTTATTTATTTATGTATTTTAATTTATTTATTCATGTATTTTAATTTATTTATTTATGTATTTTAATTTATTTATTTATGTATTTGATTAATTAATATGTGTATTTTTATTAATTTATTTATATATTTTAATTAATTATTTCATGTATTTTAATTAATTTTTATATTTTGATTTATTTATTCATGTTTCAATTAATTTATATATTTTGATTAATTTATATATTTACGTATTTATTCCTTCATTCATTTATTCATCTACTTTTTGATACAATCATTTATATATTTATTAATTTATCTATTCATTTATTCTTTTTTTTACACTTCTAGATTACATAGACTATGTCCCTGGATCGAAGTCTCGCCAGATGGTGTACATTCTCACCTGTCGAATCCCGAAGAAATACGCTCACCTTAAACCCTTGGCCGTGTCTCTGGTTCGTCGGCCGTGCGAGAGAGCGCTAACTTTGCTGCAGGTAATTGCTCTTTTTTCGTTCATTTTGATTCGTAATTCTATTGCAGGTAATTGCTTTTTTTTCGTTCATTCTAATTCGTAATTTTAAGAGATTGGTTTTCTTGTTAAATGGTTAATTAATGAGTCGGTTTATGGACTGCTATTTCCGCTAATAGTTGACTATTGTAATTTTAGCGTCGAATTACTTTTCTGTTCTTCTGTCATATCTGATTCGAAATGCGAATAGACTGTTTTTCTTGTTAAAAGGTTGATTAATGAGTCGGTTTATGGACTGCTGTTTCTGCTAATAGTTGCGTATTGGAATTTTTGCGTGTTGGGATATAATATTGCAGGTTGTAGGATCCATGGAACGTAACGCTTCGACTGCCTTCGCTGAGGGAGGCTTAAACCCAAGAAGCATTAGGTTTGTTTCTCTCTCTTTCTCTCTCCACCCCCTCTCTCTCTGTCTCTCTCTCTCTCTTTTCTCTTCTCTCTCTCTCTCTCTCTCTCTCTCTCTCTCTCTCTTCTCTCTCTCTCTCTCTCTCTCTCTCTCTCTCTCTCTCTCTCTCTCTCTCTCTCTCTCTCTCTCTCTCTCTGTTTCCCTCTGTATTTTTGTGTGTGTGTGTGTGCCTTACTTTCATTTCATGTTATTGTTCCATGTGTGTATATATATGTACTCAAACGTTTAAATATGCACACATAAATACACAACAAAATTTAATTAATCTACACATTTGTTCTGAATAGAAAAAGCATCATAATAGAAGTACCCCTTCATTAGACCACCTCAATGGAACGTGGCGGTGTGCGGACCGGCCCTCTTCTACTACCACCAGGACATCTCGGTTCGTCTGGTCGAGTGGCTGGAGCTGCTTCGGGCTTCGGGCTTCGCAAAGGTCTTCTTGTCCGAGACCGACGTCCATCCCAACATACAGAAGGTCCTCCAGTACTACGTGCAGGAGGGCTTTGTCAGCGTGACGAAATTCACGTATCCGGAGCCCTATGTGAACGAACCCAACACCCGCAGGTCAGTGAATTAATGTTGTTCGTTATATACAGTTTGGTGAATCATGCTAGGGCTTATAACTGTCTAGTCATTTAGGCAAGCAGTTTTCTTCCTGCTGCAGGAAGACTGCCTAGAGTTCTTTGTCATAAACTGAGCTATAGACTTCACTAAATATTCACTAAAATTAGAACGCACAAAGGTAGACATACCGCAAGGTGAAGAAGCCTGTTCCTCCCATTGGGGGCTGTGTGGTCACCAGAAAGACAGAGCTTTAAAGAAACATACGACAGAAAGGAGATAAGCCATGTTTCAAACTATATCCTAGCAATGAATTTTGAGTTTAATCAAACTGATACGCATTTTTTTTTCAAGGTTATGGACCCTGTTGAAGCAAAGGGAGATGTTTAGCATGGAAAATATGTACTTCACTGACTGCGCCCTTCGCCACATGCACGAGTACCGCTTCATCTCCCACTTTGACCCGGACGAAATGCCTGTCTTACTCAACCACGAGACTTTCCCTCGTTGGGTCGCCGATTGGACATACAGGTATCCGATTTTACTTTTTATCAGTAATCATCTGTGACATTGTTAACTTGGGATATGATCAAGATTTTTGTATCGAGGTAAAGTAGCGCTTCGTATCCAGTGGGAAACTTCCCTAAACTGGATCTAAAATACCCTTTACAATCTAAAATTCCAGCTGATTAATAACTACTTTGATCAATTAAGATATGGCCTTGTAAGCTGCTCTTTGGTATGTACTCATAGGGTATAAATAAGCCCATTTAAAAAAAAAGTTATGAAACTACACGGTGAATAACTACATTAGATAGAAATACAATTAAAAATGGACCACATATGATAGTGTCTCAATCCGATCAGTACGCATTTTCTCCCCAGGCATGAGGTCACAGCGGGGAAGAAGAATGACCCCTGGAAATCGCTTCACCTGGCTTGGTACTATCACAACGACGATTTGGAAACCCCGAGCGCGTCCCTTCCAAAATACATGTGGATGTTACGTCATTCTCGACGATCCCTGAAGAAGTTTGCGGTAAATTACGGAACATCTAAGCCCGTGTTCAACATGGATGTGGCCTTGGGAGTCAATTCTCATATGCTGATGGCCTGTAGCTTTGGTAAGACTGTGGCTTACATACGTTTCACATTCGCCATTTAAATTATACATCTCACATTTAAAGGAAATCAAATTCTCATGTCAACTTTTTCCCTGTATATGTGTATATATGTATATCAACGATGTTAAATAAGAAAACACCGATGTTCATTTGTCTTCACTTTTTATACATTTACGTTTGAGTTTCAAACTTCCCTTTTTCACATATCCCTGAAAACGTTTGTCTATTCTTTTTTCATTCATTTTTAGCCAGTGTATTCCCTATCCAAATCTTGATCCCCTATAGATTTCTTAAGAACAGCGTTGTTATTTATGTGTATATGTGTATTATCAACATGGTCCCTAGATGACATATTTAAATACGTGACAACAGTAGAAATCAAGGATAAATCCATCCCTGTGCGCTAATCCCTTTACTACGAACAGGTAACTGCCATGGAAAAAGCTACGTAATCCCGCGAAGGGAAGCTTATGTAGCTCACTTCAAGCAGACATGCGGTGACTATTGCAAGCGAGCCAACGCAACAAGGGAAGAACCAGCTCTTCTAAGGCATGAGTCAAAGGTCATCCCTGCAGTGACGAGAGTGTTGCAAAAACTCCAGTTGATTTGATATCTGGTTGAATTTACAATTTTATAATAATGTATGTGATATCTATACATATATATATCTGTATGTAAATGTGTGTGAGTGTGTGTGTGTGTGTGTGTGTGTGTGTGTGTGTGTGTGTGTGTGTGTGTGTGTGTGTGTGTGTGTGTGTGTGTGTGTGTGTGTGTGTGTGTGTGTGTGTGTGTGTGTGTGTGTGTGTGTGTGTGTGTGTGTGTGTAAGTGAACGGGTCGAGGCAAATCGTACCAGGGCCGCAAAGCAAGGAGGAAGGAAAGAAAGTGATAATATGATGGAAAAGAAAGGGTAAGGGAAGTGATGGTGATGAGGTAATGTTGATGATGATATCAATAATCCTCATACCAATACCAGTGTATGAGAGGAAGTAATGATCGTAATTGTAATAAAGGTAGCCTTGATAATAACAATGTTGGTAATAGTAATGATGTTACTGCAATAACGTTCGTGCAATACTCTTACTATTAACATTAGTAATGATAACGATTGTTATGCTAATAATCATAATGATCATGATAAGAAAATAATCTTAGCAATGATAATGATAATAGTAATAAAAATCCCGATAATCATAAAGTACTAACAGTAATTTTCATTATTATCATCTTATCCATAATACTACTTAATGAAAAGGTTGATAATAGAGTGAATGTAAATAAAATAAAGTTATAAAATGCACATGGTGACGGTTCTCTCGTGTGTAATGAATGAATTATGCTGTAATATGATATCAGTTATAGATCCAGGTCCTCATGGTAAGGAAGAAAAAATTACCAGAAATTATATGGATATAGTTTCAGCCCATTTGTTATATTATCTCTTGACCGTATCAGTTGTAATATCAAGTTTATGGTAACGAACTCTTTATTTTCTGAATAAAAAATGATTTCATAATATATATTGGTTTTTGTTTTCCCTCTTTACCTCTTCTATTTGTGCAGTGCTATATTTTATCAGTAGAATGTATCCTCTTGATTATTATCAACTCTTGATTATAATTAACTCAGGTGCTAAAGGTTTAGAATCCATCTTAAACTCGGTTATTGTGGGGGGGGGGTCCTGCTAATGGGGGATAAGGCACCGGTATACCAACGTGTCATAAAAGTAAAGGCAACAGCCGAGAAACTTATTTATATTTATTATCTTTTTAGTGTCTCACGATGAGTTTGACCAATAACTGAAACTAATATGACATCTGGCTGTAAAGTGTTGCCAGAGAGCAAAGTCGACTTGTAAGGACAGTGTGAGAATCTTTGATGATGTCTCAGAAGTGCCCCATCTTTCCATGACTTTCCAGAGAGGGTTTGTAACTCCTTCCACAGTTTTCTTTGGACATTTGATCCTTATTTACGATACATAAAATCCCATTACGGCATGTACAATGACTGTAATTTATGACTGATGTTGTCAAGCATAAATTTGATTAAGGAATGACTTGTGAGTGTGTTTTATTGACACCAGTGACGAGTTGCTTATTATGGATAATCAGGTATCAATCTAAGCTATGTAATTCTTCAACTTTGCATTCAGTTACCTCAATCTTCCGAAGTTTATATTGACTTCTTTCTGAAAACTTTCTCAGAATATAAACAAAAAAATCTAAAGCAGACTTTTAAGTCTTTAAAACAAATACTATATTTACTTGATTTTCCAGACTTGAAAGCAAAATTCCATGATATTCCAAGTCTTGAAAATCCAATTTCCATGATTTTCCATGATTCTCCATGACTTGAGTGAACCCTGCCGATCCAATAGCATAACCTGAAACTCGCCTTCTCACTGCATCCGAATTTCAGCGTGCAACGAAGTGCAATAACATTATAGGAATCTTGGCCGCAAATTACAATGCATGTAGATAACAGCAAAATACAATAACAAAAATTTATACGTAGGTACGTTCGCCTTCTTTTTTCTTTCTGGTGAAAATCATTTGCAGATTCCACAAACACTCGATAAACTAGAAAAATGAATTACAACAGTGTATTGAGAAGTATTAATCTTTCTCCAAAATACGTTTAAGTTAGAGAATGCAATAACCAATACATTTTGTGAACAAAAAAAAGAAAATATCATATGATCTATTTAATATCTGAAATAACCACTGAAGTTGAAACAGCTGCTCCGCTCTGTAGGTTGTTCAGAGATATCAAAATACACTCAAAGACCTATTTGTAAGCTCATGAGGCATGATTTTGAAAAAATTGTGTCTTTGCAGCCCGCAATTTTTCCTCCATCATAATCATACGTCTTACCTGCATCTTCATCATTGTGTTTACATGTCTGTGTTTGTCTACCTGTTGTGGTGTGTTTAGTTTTGCAAGAGTTCTTGCTGATAAAGGAGACAGGGATAATAGGCTCTGGCATATCAACTGTTTATCCTCTCGACTTGCAGCTGTTTCTTTTCCTTGCTTGGCTATTCACACCCTCACTAGCAAGGCCGGATTTAAGCGGATTTGACCGATTTGATCAAATTGGGCCCCGCACCTAAAGAGGTTCCGCGCCATATAAGTAAAACAATAAAACTTTTCGTATTGCATAACAACGTGTAATCCGTTTTCTATGACCGGCCAAATGTATGCCCTAGCGGCGATGTTTGTAAACCCTCAAGGCTTGGCAACAATAAAGAGCAGACATAGAAGAGACTCTCTTTACAAACCCTACAATAAACGGGTTTATCCAAGCCTTCGTGATGCCAACATTGGCGAACGAGGATGGGAGATAACGAAGCGCATATCTTATGATTTCAGGTGAGATATGAAGTGATATTATACTGTTTGGGAGATAGATGAGAACATCCCCAACAGTATGTTGGGAATTAGCTGGTATGTGAGTTTCGTGTGCTGCGTGTATGTGTTGCTTAAGGTATTCGTGTTTGTTAATGTCCTTAAGGATGTTTGTGATCTTGTACATGACTGTAAATCTGTGTGCTTGTCTTCATGTCTCGAGCAGGTTCATGTTTATCTGTTGTATGGGTTGTAATAACAGGTGCACGCGTGTATTTGTGTATAATAAACCTGACAGCCTTGGTGTTGACTTGTACAAGTTTCTTAATGTTGAGCTTGGAGTCCCTTACAGCCGTACAGTACTCCGAGTGTCATAAGCTATGTGTTTCATGTCTGGTGTACAGTTGTGTAGGTTCCTCCTCAGAAACCCCGTGTCTCGAATTTACTGTTATGTGAGTTTCTTGTATGTGCTGCGTAAGCTATTCGTGCTTGTTAATGTCCTTAAGGTTGTTTGTGATGTTGTACATGATTATAAGTCCGCTCCTGCGCTTGCGCCTTAACACCCTTGCCTAACGGACTCATCTGCAGGAATATCTTTCTCAACCAGTCTCCTGGCAGAACCAAAGGGCGATACAACTGCAAGAAAAGTAACGTCTGTCAATCATTAGTCGAAAAATTGTGTAATGTTCTGCTATCCGCTATTGGGTAAGATGTTTGACGTGTTTCGTTCTGAAAGTCAGATTATATGTTTAGAAAAAATAGAATGTGCTTTGGCCATCCACGTGTGATTCGCATTTGCTCGTTCCCAGTTAATGATGATTAGCCGTTGACAGATACATGTGTCTTAGTGAGATTCAGTGAGTGTGTGTGTGTGCCTGCGTGGGTGTGGGTGTGCGCGCGTGTGTGTGTGCGTGTGTGTATGTGTGTGAAATCATTTCTACGGTATGGAATGGCATAATCTATGTCACTAGTCACTGAGAGTCTCCGAGGACCAATTTTCCCTTTTGCTCAGCCTTCCTGGACAACATTCTCCTCCCCGGCAAGCCACTGTGCTGAATACGAGGCGAGCGAACACTTGCGCTGATCCACCAGGCGTGTCAAGATAAAAAATGAAATCAAGCATAAAGGAACACGTGCGACAGCTAATGTGACTATTAGCTTCCACCTGAAAAGCTTTTTCTATTTGATTTTCCTTTTTTCTAACAGATACACGCCCCTCCCTGCAGCAAAGTCATACAGCCAGTCCCTGGTGTTCCATTTGGCTCTACGGATCCAGATCATTGATCAGAATACAAAATTCAATTTGGTTTTGAAAGATTCCTTTGTTATAAATACGAGAGTCATTACTGACTATTATATTTATTATATTATAATATAGGATTTATTATATTATAGGATTTATTATATTATATTATAGGATTTAAGCCCAATAAATAAGAGATAGTCACTCTTGACTATTGTTTTGACTATTATATATATTATATTATATATATTATGTTATGTTATATTATATTATTATTTATATTTATATTATTATATTATTATATTATATTTATTATATATTATATTATATTATATTATTATTTTATTATATTATATTATATTTCTTATATTATATTGACATATATTGACTATTATTAATAATATTGACGTATTACACCGCACGTGACCATTTATTTCATATCTAAACGCTAAATACAAGTGAAGTATACTGTGCTGATTTCTCGGACAAGTCAGATGGTGTTTTACACTAGAATGGTAGATCACACACGCCGATATAGATCAGCATAAATCTATCCATTCTTTTAGTTAACGTGTACTGTGGACGTAGATCTAAATGTCTCCAAATGTTATTCATTCTCTCTCGTCGCATTTCAAAGAATAAGTGTCACCTTGAGCTCTTTTGTTCTCTTGTTCTTATATAGTCTTACATAATCTCATATATACGACCGGTTTGTTAAAATTATGCCAAGGCCAGACCTAAAAGACCTTCATTACACAGACATGCACATACACAGAAATAAATGCATATCTGTCAGTCTAGACATGTATATCTACCGTGCAAATAGAAAAATAGATTTATATATTTTTGATAGATTGATAGATATGCATTTATTTCTGTGTATATAGATGTCTGTTTATAAGAATATCCATTGGGTCGGGCCTGGCACAATTTTAACAAACCGGCCAATAGTCCTTTGGTCGTCGGTCGTGCGGAGGGAACGCTTATACTCCGTGACAGATAATTCCTATTCTGTCTGTGCGTATTATTCGAAATTCAGATGGGTTGTTGTTCATCCAGAATAGACATTAATGAATCAAGTTATGTATTGTTCTTGCC